TGTCATATTGAATGTTGTCCAGTTTCTACCAAAACATCGAATTGTATTGAAAAATAACCCATTTCTGGCTGCTGCTTTTCTCTTTGATGGATAAAAAACTGAAGTAAAAAAATAGAAGAACTGAGGATGAGTCTGAGAGGAGCAACATGAGACAGTGCTTGAGGATACTGATATCCATGCTAAATAATGAAGAACAAATAGCAAAGAAACAATAGAGGAGATTGAAAGAAAAGAGGAGAGAAAATGGAAAGATGAAAAAGAAACACGTGTATGAAAAATTACTAATAGGAGGCATACATGGCCATGAAGTCTAAATTATCAGTGTTAAATCTGTAAAAAGCGTTAGTAAGACGAAATGGTGCACATGGCTGACCGTTTAAATGGTGACAAGAGTGATTATCAATGAAATCAGAGAAGATGGTAGGCGACAGTGGCAACCGGTGAAGAGCAAGTTGATCCATAGGAGGTCAAGTTTCCACCATGTGAACGGTTCACTAGCAAAAAAAGTTCATATTGAAGTCATAAAAAAAATTTGGGAAAGTTGTCAAGGTGCACCTATCAGTAAAGAACCACTAAAGACCACTATATATCACTAAAGACACAAATTCTTCAAACGAAAAGAAAGGGTCGGTTATGTCCTGATTCAGACTTCATCTACCTGGGTATCCCTATCTTCCTCATTTAAATGTTATCAGAGTGGTAATGCTAAATCGTGAAAGGATGCAATCCCTCAACAATCAATCAATTGGTCAATCTTCATCGCAGGTTCAATACAAGTGTCGCGAACACAGCAGTGAGTAGGATACATATCAATTGGTGCATAAAAGTGATTGAAGATGAAAATTGGAAAACAATGATAGAATGATAGAGTGAAGATGACGGTTAAATGATGAGAACGGCTCGGATTAGCGAAAATGTGGAAGGCTTTAGCAGCAAGTGGTCGACGCTCGTGGCCAACCATTTGCGCGGATTCCATCGTTAATGTTCTCATTCAAATATACTTAATGCGCTCATATGACGTCACAGATATTGATAAAATGTTAGATACCTGTTATTTAAACAGTTTGGGTCGAATAAGACTCTTAGAGACTACAAAAACTCACATTAATTTTTAAAAAATTTACCACTCATTTGAATCATTAGAGGTGATGAACGCAACCTTAGCAACTTCATCTAAACGTTGCCATTTTATATGTATTAGTGTCTAGAAATGCACTGAATGTAATTTAGTAGTAGCCTCCGGAAAGGGTAACAGTGCGTTCGATCCCCACCGCAAACACCTGCGGTCCGGAGTTTTGCAAATATCTCAGCATTATTGTGGTTGGCACTAAATATTTAGCCCAGTCCCTCTAGCCCATCCCATCGTAACTCATACTATTACTTAAATACTTTTATTATTAAGAAAGACGTTTTAGTAAGTAGTTGAATAGTCGGCTTTCGACTCAGCAAAAAGTCATTAGCAAGCGTTTGAGTTCGTCACAACAACGAAGACCTCCAATCCCCATTGATCGGCGACCACCTACGAAGAATGGAATCCTATTTTAACAAAAAACAAATGTGACAAGGAAAAAATATCTCCGGAATTCATTCATAAAACAACTAATAGCTCGTAGAGAATATTCTCTATTTCTACAGACAAATCACGATTAGCCTAATATTGAGCGAATCAATATTGTGTAACGTAGACATGATGACAGGTAGCTTCAAATATAAAGTGGTCATTAGGATAATTAGTAAGCATGCTAAGAGCATGAAAGAGAAACTGTTCGGTGTAGATTCCATCTCCCAAACAAATACCACGCATTAGATTCCATTCGTAGATCGCGGAGATGGCAGAATACGTGCTAGGGAGCACAGTGAGGTGCGGTGACCTGCCGATACACTTAGTGTTTCTATCCTTTCTAGTGTTTTTATCCTCTCTCACGCTTTTGGTACTAATATACAGACTAAAAAGGGATGGAGAGCTTGGTTTATCCAGGGTGCGGGATTGAACCAATTACCTCGTGGACATTTCAAGACCCTATGATCCTTGTGATACATTTGTCCTTTATTGGTTAATAGAATGAGTTGGATAGAATTAATTTACTATTTTGGGATAAACCCTTCTCGCTTGTATTCTACTTGCTATCGGTTATGAAGGCAATTATCGTCGTGGCAAAAAAACCTTCGCTTACATTGACAACTACGGAAGAGACCGCAATAAAATCGAGGACGTAGATCATTACGGTGGATTTCCCTTTCTTCTTTAAAGCCATAAACTTAACTGCGATTCAAAAATTCTATCATTTGGCATAAGAAGATGCAGGCAGCCTAGTGCAGTATTTAAATGTTCAACAACACACATTAGATCGGTCGCTCGTTCGAAGTCGCGTCCCAGACAAATCAAGCTTTCCCTTTTACTGAAAAGGATAGGAATGGTAGACAGAATTTTTGGCCGCCCAAATGTCGTCGTCACTTTTCACAGATAACTTTCACCTACTCGCCTTCGACACAACACCTTCGCAAAAAAAACATTTCCCTTCCATATCTCGGCCAATCACGTGTCATCGATGTGATATGAAGGAGAAAAAAACTGTGTTGAAGGTAAGTATGACAAAGATCAGTGGTCTATTTAATGTTCAAGAACGGTGTGGCGTACTGGAGGGCCAATGAGCACTATTCAAAATGCAACCACTTTTACGCTGATGTATTTGAAAAATTCGGAACAGAGGCCAGATTCGAACCAGGTATTACTCTTTCTGGGGATTCACGGGTTACCCATTACCCCACTGAGGCCTTTGCTTTTCTTTCTCCCAGCCTTTCTTCAATCTGACGCTGCCATCAGCAACCACCCGTGAGCGGAAATAATCTGGGGAGTACAATTCGCCATTAAACAAAGTGAAGCTGACACTGTAGTCGAAATTACAGTGTATAACTTTTTGTTTACTATCCATTATTCTTTTATGGCAAGTGGCCGATGAAACGGCAAAAAACAGGCTCTTTTATATAGTGTCGCCATGGAGTAAACAGTAATACAATGTTGCATTCTCTGACCATGTACGTTGAACTAGTCAAGCTCTCATCTCTTAACAGTCCACTTGATCCGCCGACGAGGATACACATCGCGAGGACGACCGGCTGTGGTCAATCGACTATAACCACCGCGGGTGAAGACGTTGAAGTGTTAGTCGAATAGACATTTTATAAGAATCTCATGTTAGCTTAATCATCTAAGAAAAATACTAGTAATTCTTGCCGGCGTTAAATGGTAGTTAGTTCCGGAATTTGGTCAAATGGAAGTTCATGGATGAAATTGAAGACTATACTGATTAGTGACAAATGTATCCGTGGATTTGAAGGTCGTACAGAAACTGGGAATCATCTACAGAAATTCCCAGTGAAGGAGGAATTTCTAGGACTTTATTTTTAGAACTTCACTTTTATTTGTACGAATAATAACTTCGAAGAACATACACCAATGGATGACACAGTCCTCTTTCAGCTGCACAACCAATGCTAAAGAATGGTGGACTCGAATGAGTCACGAGAACTAAACTTGTTTGAAACATAACTTCAATGATGCTGAGATATTTGCAAAATTCCGGGCCGTAGGTGTCTGCAGTGGGGAACGAACGCGCCATTGACCTGTCCGGTGAGTAAGGCGTTCACCAGCACACCATGTGGGTCCTTCGTTTCGCCTGTCTCTCAGCTAATTCTACCGATCTCTTCGATCGGCAACGAACCCAGTTAAGCTGAGGCTGTAGTTATAATCATAATTTTAACTTATTATTTACTATGTACCCTTTTTAATCAAGATTTGCTATTAAAAAGAGTAGGTAGTAAATAATAAGTTAAAACTGTAAACTCGTTTGAGTTAATCTTATTACGTAGATCGAACCGTGTTTTTCCTAACTTCCCATCCTAACCCATGACGGAAACGAGCCGCCCTGTAGCAAAACTCTTCGAGTGCAATACCAGCAATTTTTCGTCGGTTGCGGACCTTCTGGTTTTTTGCCGATAAAAATTAGTTTTTTAATAGCCATAGTGCTGTAGTGGTTAAGAACATGACAGAATTGTAGAAGGGACTTTGCTCTATCTATGGGTATGAGTGATGTGCATGCTAGCATATACTGTGTGTCACCAAGCTCCATTATGCAAGTACATAGCCGTCAGTACTTGGAGGTATTTTGCACCTTATGCTGAGTCTATTTCAGTATTTTTGGGTCCGAATATTCCATACAGTAAGCATGCCAATGAAAATATAATAAGTTGCTGGTCAAATTACCGGTCAACAAACTCTTTTCCAAATAAACGTTCTTTGTTGACCACCAAGCGTAAAGAATGCTTTTTTCGTTCCATCCTCACAATTTTTATCTGCCTTAGATTAGATACCGAATGGACATATACACATAATGCAGGGAAAAAATTCTGGGATGCGCTAAACTGGAAATGGACACCATAGTCTCCACACCGTCCCCATGGTCCAAACCGGGAGTTATGGGTTAAGAATAGGTAACTTCTTACCTCTAGTCACAAACAATCTCCTGCCATTTGTGGAAATGTATAATCCCCATTTGGTACGCTTTTGTATCTCAAGAATGTGCTTCCTACTGTGCTGTGCAGAATGTGCTTAGTTCCCTACTTAAGTACATGAAGTAGAAATAGCAATTGTAATACCGTCTTTTCGTTTAGCTTTAGCAATTTTTAACTCCACTCTCATCCAATAAAATTTTATAAGGATGTTTGAAGCGTGGGCGAATGGGAAAATCCTTGCTGGTGTAAAAGGGTGTTTTCCCTATTCGTTGTTTTGTCACGTTACTTAAAAAAGGCCAAATAGGGTACTTTCCAAGCACTGGATGACTTCAATCACTAGGTATGGTATTGATGAACAAATAGTCATTAAAAAATATTTACAATCCTAAAGTGTAAGGTGATTACAAACTGTTTACTTTTCGTGCAATATTACGCCGCCACTAAATCTACAGTAAGACGACTATTTTTTAGAACTACAATAACATCGTCTAGTTGAATGCTAGTCCTTTGCCAAACGCCTCCTTTTCCTCCATACCTGGCTTCCTCACGATTGGTGGTGATCTGATAAAGGAGTAGATTATAAATAGCATGAAAGCAGAGAGAAAAAGTGGAGCTTGCTCGTTATAAAATATACCGTACCTCAGAGGAAGGCGAGGTGGAGGATAGTCACCATACTGTTCTTCGTAGAATTTGCGGAACGACCGACGGAAAGCCAGTTGCCCTGCAGCAAACTCGAACTCCGTTAAACGCCGTATACCAAGGTCGAAAAGCGTACGCTGTCCTGTCAGCACATCGTCTTTCACTTCCTGTGAAAGAAAATGATGAATAATCAGGGAAATCAATAACTGACAGTCAAACATTTATATCCAGAACATTCAATAGGGAGTCTTATTTATAAATACTTCGAGACCTTGTATCGATGTGAAGTGTGGTGAATTTCTCAAGATCTTCAACATTGTTTTCGCTAACAGAATAAAACAAAACGCACCACATACTCCATCCATTCACGATTTAGAGGAACTTTACACTTGAAGAAATGGCCAAATTGCTCTGTTAACCATGTCAAAGCGATGAAATAAGGATCAGGAAATGAATGCCGTCGATACCTGAAGGAACCATTAGAAAGAACGTGAATGATGGAAAGAAGTGGATAAAACATAGCTGTAAAATATAAAAGTAGTGTGATGTACGGATTAAACCAAAGAAAAAGCAAAAAAATGTTCTTCGATAACTAACGGAAGATGACAGAACCTACCTGAATCCAAAGTTCTCTATACAGTGAGCCTTTCTGTATAAATAGTCAATCAATTCGCTCAACTGATAACAGTGAGGGCCGACGAATTCGTAAATGTGGCCGGCCGAAGTTGGATCGCGCACTATACGTTCGAGCCCTGCAGCAACGTCCCCTACCTGAATAAACCAAAATCACCTTGAGAAACTGTACTAATACAAAGAAGTCATATCTAGATAAAGGAAAAGCGAAATCATTTCTGTGTAACCTATTTAATATATACCTTTCTTAAAAAGAACTAAAGAAAAAGAACTTTGCGAACAATCTAACCTTCAATATGTGGCATGGATTATTTCCAAGATATCCTTAGCGAAATAATATATTTATAACGCTCGTTCGATATTATGACATACCCAAATAGGCATCTTGTAAGTGTGTTCGCCCTTCTTGTATAAATACACCAAATCAAATGGTGTTTTCCTGTATCTGCTCACATAGCATCGTATGAATCCGTCCATTTCTCCATATATAAGAGAGGGACGAACGATCGTTGCAGTGGGGAATTCGTCGCACACGGCTATTTCACCCAGACCCTAGACGGATAATTGAATAGATATTCAAAAAAGAAGACACGGAATAAAACCCAATAATAGAAGAAAATGTAACAAATATACGTTAAGTATCAACCTTACTGCGAAGGAAGTTTGACTCCTTAACATAGTGTCCTTTGCCAGGGTTAACAGTCGCGCCTAAAGCTGATACATGAACGAAACGTTCGACTCCCATTTCGCGACAGATTCTTGCAATTCGACGAGCACCGTGCTGGTGAACCTCGTAGTAGTCATAGTTCCTGATTATATTTAAATCAATAGTAAAACAAAAATTTGTCATATATGGAAGGAATTCAGCAGAGGATAGATGAAAACGGAACATGCGGAACAAGAAAAGGTGTATTTTCGAAGAAAATCGAAACATCTGTGCAGAATATATTGCAAAAAAAAACTGAGTGGATTGGCGTAAAATTAAAACAACAAGGGAGACGCTTACTTGGTTGGGACCCTTGTTCCAATAAGATTAATAACGATATTGGAATACTTCACGACCTAAAAAAGTCAAAAAGCGGAATACGATAACCACGACAAGATTTACCACCCAAATGCGTGTAAATACTGGCAGGCATTAAAACTGTTAAGGAATAAAGAAATACGAAGTAAGTATGCTCTTGAACTCATAAACTCTAAAAACCATCTTGATGACTTACCTTCCTAATACTCTCTTCATCTTTCAATTCGAAAGGAAAGAATAAAATCTGGCCATACTCTCCAGGTATTTTATGTGCTCTCATATAGTACGGATCTTGTCTGAAAGCGTATGAAGATGAGTGAAGTAAAATTTCGGAGCCGCTGTAAAAATTTTCCACCTATAAAGTAGAAAAGTGGGACGAAAATATAACACTGCAAAACAAAGTATTCATATAAACGGAATAACAGTATGCATGTAACCATAATGATGCTAAGATATTTGCACAACTCCGGACCGCTAGTGTGTGCGGTGGGACAGAACACGCTATTCACCTTTCCGAGGGCTAATGCGTTCACCACCACACTTTGCGAGTTCTTCGTATCGCTTTTCTCTCCGCCGTGTTATTGACGTATAGGAGCTATCGACATGTATATTTTACCTGTAAGGTATAATAATCTGATTTCCTTGTTTCGCTAGTCTATTGATAACAGGTAGTCCCATGAATCCAGAAGTCCCAAAGACTGTTACAACATTTCCAGAGAAAGATGCCCTAAATAGACAACTTTTCAGAGAATTAAAAATGAAACATGTAATGATTCAAAAGAACAGTACACAAAACGAGATCATACACGTGCTTCAAGAGTAGAATTCATCAGCTGGAAATTTCTGACATCTAGTACAATTCATTGGTCGAAGCCAATGAAAAATCGCTTCTTTTCCTAGAAGGCCCAATTATGAGTGATCAAAACAATAACACCAGTAATTCGTGCGGTCTTCCACTGAAGAAGATCCGACTCGATACGACGATGAAGACGCCATATCGAGAACACTAACAACTGTGGACAATCGACTCGGACTACCTACTCAGAAGAAGACAAAGACGTCGAAACATTAGCCGAAATAAATATGTTTATCAACCTGGTGCAAGCTTAAAAACGTAAGCAGGTGGTACTGATTAATATCAAAGATGTTAAATGACGGTCAGTTTAAAAATTGACGCTACTTATTCTACAGAATGTAACAAATCTGAGAATTTAAGTTTTTTTTTCACCTAGGTAATATTGACCACACCTACAACTCATCTTCTTGGGAAACTGATCCACTATTTTTCCATACTTGATGAAATCACGCTTGGGAGCCGTTGTTGGTGGTGATCAAAAAGTACTGCCATTAGAACTAGTACTACAATTTACTACTGATTATTACCGAACACCCTTTCTTTAAAAGGTAGTCTCACACCCTTAAGTAAACGAAATGTTACAACAGTATGATAAGTGCAACAATCAACAGATTGACAGGCTGATAGCATTACGACGAAAAGCATTTGCCGTCAATGATGTATAGTTGACGAAGCAAATCCACTATACAGAAAGGATCACGAATGCATTAATATTCAGAAAAATGAATAGTTAAGAAGTATACCTACCGTCCGCCAGTTCCTTTCCGAAACTGTGCCGTTTGTGAACTCATTCGCGTTTCTGGAAGCTCATGCTGGGAAGCTGGAGTGGGAACAGGGGCTGTAGACTGAGCGTGTGTCTGGCCAAGAATCAGCACAGCCGGCCGACATGACGACGAACATGTTCGGCCGATCACAGACCACATCCACTCTGAAACACAAACCAATGGAGGGTATGGAAAGTGGAAATATGTAGTAGATACACTGCAGAAAAACATGGTAAAATAGAGTGAAGAGTGGTCTATAAGAATAGTGCAACAGATTTCAAAACTAATATAAAGGATAAAAGGATAAAGATCTCAGAGTTGGTCAATGCGCCATGGATTCGACTTTACTATGCATCGTTTGGAGAAGATTGAATGCATATCTGGTCTTTACAATGACTCGCGGTGTCCTACTGATGTATCAAGAAAGTGCAGCTGTACTCCCAGACAAGTCTGGTACCAATTTGCCGACCCCGGAGGGATCGAAGGGTTGGTGGACCACGGAGGCAGGGATCGATTCCACGTGTAAGTTGCAGAGCGCCTTCGACCACTACACCACACGTGCCCATTCTAAGAACAGTAGCCTCAGGAATATAATTCACTGAAACACAGAAACCATTCAGCTTAAAAAACGTCAATGCCATAAACTATAAGCTAGTATGCTAATTTTACAAACTTCACTTGTTGATCAAATTTCGATACCTTCCAAATTGAAGTGCTTATATTAAGCTTTAGAGACTACGCATTTCTAGAACTGACACTACTACTCCTTGTGCTGAGTTAATACCCCACATAAACTAATATTTATTATATTAAGTTACGTTTATTGAAGATAAACTTTATTCTAAACATAAAACCCAGTAAAAAAAAATAAAACAACTCTACTTCTCCATATGACCCTTCATAATTGTATTGTATTGTAATTGTAAAAACAGGAAAAAACCTAAAAAGTCCCAAAGAACACAACAAATCATAAGGGAAACTGCGTGTGTAAAATGGCGTCAAGTGGGAAGGACAGATTACGGACAGAGGACAAACTTGACGGCTGAATTATTTGAACGGCTCTGTGACGGCGGTGCAGAATGCGGTAGAAGTGGTAGGTGGAATTTCTTCGATGGGAACCGTCTATGGGACTCCATTATCGATGACGACCAGCACGCTATGATATTCTGGTAACACTTTTCGTTCTTCCTTACAAAAAGAACAACAGTTGCTGACGTTTCGACAGTATCGCATTCGTCAGAGTCATCAACCATAGAAAAAGGATAAAAGATGAAGCTCTCGGCGTTGGTCAATCCCTGAGGGATGCACCAAGCACTCGATTTCATTAAGCATCGCTGGAGGTGATTGAATGTATATCTGGCCCTTACAACGGCTCGCGGTGGCTTACCGATATATCGAGCCAGTGCTGCTATACTCCCAGACAAGTCTGGTACCAATTTGCTGACGCCGGAGGGATGGAAGGCTTGGTGGGCCATGGGCGCAGAGATCAATTCCACGTGTGTGTTGAAGGGGTCTTCCGACCACTGCGTCACACGCGCTCTGTCATCAACGAACGTACAACGAGTATTGGTTGATGTAGTTCCAGTGGCATATTTGGCTTCCTTTCCAAAGTATTTTCCATGTGTGGTTCCGCGTTCGTGCTTGAAGAGATTCAAAATCCAGAAGATTTTTTAGACAGTAGTCATCACACAGGAATTGCTAATCAAGCACTAGTTTTCGTTCTATTGCGTCATTGTGGGGAACCATTGAAGAGAACACCCCAGTAACTAGTTCTCATGTTCAAGTAAGCTGGATGCTAGTTCAGCTTGTTTATCACTACAGTCTAGATATAGCCATTCCGAGGCGCTCGTCTTCACCATAGACAACAGTCGTCCTGTCTGGATCTGAAGCAGACTACACCAAACTTAGATATTTATACTAAGTATCTATCTTCGAACTTGTAGCACGTTAGGTCTATAACTGCTTACAGATCTCTTCAAACAAGCATTTTAAAATAGTTTGAAAGCAACAGTTCTGAAGACCAACCATGTTGAACGCGAGTTTGACAGTTCTGCTTGCAACCCTCACGTAAACCTATGCCATTCTAGTGGCCGACGAGCTACCTGTGGCCAGCTTCTTTAATTAATTTACTAATTGGCAAGCAGTAGAAATAGAAGTCGCTCGTACGTAAGACGTGTTGCTTCGTATGTCCTGTGCAACGAGTCGGTGACTAGTCTACTCCCACTACCTACAGGGAGGTTTCGAAACAGTGCTGATTGTCGACAAGTGTTATTATCGTGGAATCCTGTGTGTTGAAGGTGGCAGAGACATGTGTAGCGCAGTGGTTAAAGGTCCCAATGAAAAACATATGTGGTTGTTACGGTTCGATCCCCGCGCACGTGGCTCACCAAGTCTCCATCCCTCCTGGGTAGGCGAATTCATACCGGACTTGTCTGGGATGATCGAAGCACTGACTGATACGTCGGTAGGCCACAGTGAGTAATTTTAAAGGACAGATATGCATTCAGTCACCTCTAATGGTGCTTGACGAAGTCGCCTTTATCCTTTGCAGTAGCATGACAAGTCTGTTCATGTTTGCGATGGCTCACGCAACGTCTTCTTATCATTGCCGTCATTTTATTCTATCCGTCGAATTTGTAATGAGGGTGCGAAAACTGGTACGCGCTATTCAAAGGAAATTCTGTCGCTCACTTCTCACCGTCAATTTGATTTTCATTACCGGGTTCCTCATTGGCGTCTACGCTCACGTTCGAACTGTACGTTCAAATAAATGGCTAACTTTTTATCCTTAAATTTATTCAAAAACAATACAATTTATTTGTAGTTTAAATCGTTACGAATCGTTCTCGATTCGTAAGATTTTCGTCGACAAGTAGATTTTGGATCGGTTGTAGACAAAGAAATTCTGAAATCATTGTAAAAGTAAGTGCTTTGAAGATCGTCATCACAAATGCGAGTGCCCAAACGCAACTTGTTTTTGTTCATTCGTCAACGCCATCCATGGAGGTGGTCTGGATCACATATCGTCACGGCTGCAAATGTCATTTTGTGATTCAGTAACGTATTGTACAAGTGTCCATCAGAATTGCTAAGACAAGATATTTATCGGAACTTTTCGGCTATATGGATTATATTCTATGAGATGTCTCCTGATTCATTGTATCCACAATCGGCGCCATGATTGAGATAACCGCCACATCTAAGTTGAGTCGTGAAACACTGGGAGGAATCATCAATTGCAAAAAATGAGCGCATGATCTGGATCGTCTGCTAATCGGTGGCTTCCCTAATAGAGTCGAGTGGGGCTCACGTTACTCTTCGTCCTTCTTCCTATCTACTTTTCCTCAGATGTTCAGTGAATACTACGTGTACGTACGAAATATACATTCGTAATAGGAAATGTCGTCGCTCTTAGTTCGTTTTTCATCGGTTTGTAAGTTTTTCACAAAGTGGACTTGTCTCGATTTCTTTTCCTCCCATTGCTTTATCCGTTAAGTTGAACTGTTTGGGTACTATCTCTGCCTCACTACTGCTTTCCGAAAGCAGAGCATGCCTCCTACAAAGTGGAGGTATTGTACAAACATTCCATCAATGCACATGGTTTCGGTCTAAATGAGCAATTTCGTTACCTGATTCATTGTGGTGGACAAACAGCTCAGTCATGGTGGTGCTTGCAGTCAGATTCCTCTTGGTATGACAGTGAAGCAGCGACAAAGTGCGTCGTTATGATGCAGATGCCATTGGATTCTGCTAAAGCTGTTCTAGTTTTATACGGTGGGTTCACTTCTTGATCGACAAATGACGAGAAGGTAGCACTAATTTCGATGCTTTATAAACCGTTTTAACAAGCAGGAGAGATAGAGGAGAGGGTATACCCTTCCAGGCTCTGAAGAAGGCGATACTGCCGAAACGTCAGCTAGCGTTGTATTGTATTGTTTTTTTTATGGAAGTAAATGTATGCTGTTTAAAAACCTCGCGATTGCTGAACAAGAAAACGACACATTCAATTCCAATGCATTGTGTTTTTTATGGAAGTAAATGTATGCTGTTTAAAAACCTCGCGATTGCTGAACAAGAAAACGACACATTCATATTCCAATGCCGAGGTTAATAGAAAGTCGATTCTGGGAATTATTCATGTTTTTTTCAAAAGTAATTTGTCGTGACCGTAACTTGCCTGTTATGGATTCTGTTCAACAGCTTTTATCCAGAAGAATAAATGACAATGCTGTGGACATCAATTAATTTCTGAGGGGTGCGCCGTGCATTTAACTTCATCTAGTTTAGTTAGAGGTGATTGAATTCATATCTGGCCTATACAACGACTTGGGATAGGATACTATAGATAGATATGAGTTTAGTGCTGTTACTCTGCCAGACAGGAATGGTACGAGTTCGCCTACCACCGGAGGTGTGAACCCTTAGATGAACTCAGGGCGCAGCATTAGTCAACAACCGATCCAGTGTTCATTAGAGCGCACCTGTAAACCGTTGCACTGTAGTAGTCTCTGTTTTTCTTATACCAACATTGAAATCTCGAATAACAATTTCATAGAAAGATTTTTTCTATGGAATACATTCTTCAACTGTTCAGAAAACGGGTGGAAATACTATTCACCAGAAGAATCGCTTAGTGAGTAGCAGTTGGTGATAGTTTAACGAGGAGTTTCCTTACAAAAGATGACCAAGGAAAATGAGAGGACGCTGTGCCAGGAAGCACCTGCTGTGATTTTTGCCGATCTTCAATCGTTGGATAGATAAGAATCAGGTCATCTAGGTCATATAGGCTGACATCGGTCTTTATTCTCTTATTCTTTTCCACACTATCGACGTAAAATTTTATGTGGTCTGTAATCGAAGGTATAGATCGCGAAAATCGATTCCTCATCTGAATGACCTGTTGTCGATATAAGGCAAGAAGCGCCCTCTATGATATATTTTCGACGTGTTTCTTGATATGATGAGTTCCTCTCTAGCCTGAGATTTGAAAGGATTTTCGCTAGTCTTACTAGAAGACGTAAATGAAAGCACGGAGAATAATAACTGGTCGTTTGATGGGAGAGTGGCTTTTTTCTAGTGCGAGACGAATGTCTTCTAGGTCGTCACCATAGGCAGTTTCTTTCAGGTTTTCCCAAGAAGCAATTTTTACATTGTTTCGC